CTTTTCCCCCATTCTCCCCCTTCCCTCTCCCCACTGATAACCCTCCACATGATCTCCATTTCTGTGATTCTGTTCCTGTTCTGCTTGTTTGCTTAGTTTTTGTTTTTGTTTTTTAGGTTCAGTTGTTGATAGTTATGACTTTGTTGTCATTTTACTGTTCATAGTTTTTGATCTTCTTCTTTTTCTTAGATAAGTCCCTTTAACATTTCATATAATAAGGGCTTGGTGATGATGAACTCCTTGAACTTGACCTTATCTGCGAAGCACTTTATCTGTCCTTCCATTCTAAATGAAAGCTTTGCTGGATAGAGCAATCTTGGATGTAGGTCCTTGCCTTTCATGACTTTGAATACTTCTTTCCAGTCCCTTCTTGCCTGCAAGGTTTCTTTGGATTACAGGAGAAAAATAAAAGATCTCTTCTCCAGCTTTAGACCTGGAATAATTTTTTGAAGCATAAAGTTCATGTCTTAGTTTTTCTCTCTTTAGATCAGGCCATGTACACTGGTTATTATTTTGAAATCAAAAACAAAATTATACTTAGTCCATATTATTAGAAGTGAACTTCAGCCCTGGCCAGGTAGCTCAGTTGATTAGAGCATAGTCCCAATACAGCAAGGCTGTTGGTTCAATCCCGGGTCAGGGCACATACCAGAATCAACTAGTGAATGCATGGATAGATGGAACAACAAATCACGCGCGCTCTCTCTCTCTCTCATCAATAACTTTTTTTAAAAAAGAAGCAAACTGCTAATAGTATACTTTGTTTTTAGAAACTCCACATAGTCCATCATTTCACAGTTTCTTTGGAAAACATCATTACCATTCTCTGTGTTAAGCCTACAGTACAGAAAATGACTTTTTACTTGGTAGACTAATATGAACACTGCAAGATTCACTTTGTGGGTATATTTTCCAAGTTCAGCTTCTTAGTGGCACTTATTAAACTATTCCAGAAGCTAAAGTGTGTTCCAGAAGCTAAGTCCCAGAAGTTAAGCAATAAGCCCAGGACTCATAGTCATGCACTATATTGGGAACTAATTTCAGGTCTTAAATGTAAGTTCACCTTGTATATGATTGGTTATATATTTCCTTTTACTATTTTCCCCTTCTCTACAAAGTAATACATATTCACTCTAGAAAATTCAATCATTATATAAAGGTACAAATAAGGCACAAATCTCTTGCTATTATTTTTTTAAAGATTTTAGTTATTTATTTTTAGACAGAGGGCAAGGAAGGGAGAGAGAGAGGGAGAGAAACATCAGTTAGTTGCCTCTTGCATGCCCCCAAATGGGGACCTGGCCTGCAATCTAGACATGTGCCCTGACCTGGAATCAAACTGGTGACCTTTCAGTTCACAGGCCACCGCCCAAGCCACTGAGCCACACCAGTCAGGGCCTCTTGCTATTATTTTAATCCGCAACCAAAGACAATCACCATCAATGACTTGTGAACATTCTTCCAGCAGTTTCTATGCTTATATACACATATAGATATGTAGGTAAATAATTTTACATAAAGTGGAATTATTCTACATGTAGTATTTTATAACTGTTTTCATTTAACATGTCATGAGCTCTTGTCATGTCAATGAATATAGAGACTGAACTCTTAATAACTTGTGGTTAGCAAATTATTCCTGCCTGCTAGTAACCCTTTCTTGAAAAAACATCCATTACATAACTCTGTTTGGTCCCAGTGAGGAAGACAATCACAGTAGTATCCCCCACATGGTTTGTGGCAGGAAATCAGCTGACCCAGGCCTGACAAATGAGAGTTCTCTGCTCTTAGCTGGAGAGATTTCCAAAGACTAATTGACATCATCCCTGAGATGCAATATATGAACACTGAGTGAGAGAAAGTCTCATGTCCTTTGGACTGAGATTTATTAAGATATTATAAACTGAAGTTGCTTATAGTCTTGCTGACAACAAGAAGGAAGCAGCAAAGTACAAAAAGAAACAGAGATAAGCAAAGATGAGAGGTGGACAAGAACTGAGAGTATTAACATATCTTGCACCCTGCATTAAGCACTAGACTATAGTCAGTGATGCTATATGGCAACATATGCTTTCTTAAAAATCAATGCACTATGCAAATTTGTTCAATAAAACCCACTGGGTTTATGGGAAAAAATGGGGCTAAGAGTACAACATTTTAAAACTTTGTAAGTGACAGATACACAAAAACATACAAATCTAATATAAAAATGGTAGCAGAGTTTTATACATGTTAAATGGTTAAGAGATACATAAATACTATAATAAATATAGCACTTCATTTTCAAAAAGACCTGAAATTTGCTTGTGGAAACAGACATCAAAAGGATTGCTGCTTGTGAGTTGTTGCAAAGTGATGGAAGGTAGGTTATCTGAAATCAGAGGGAAAGTTGTAACACTAGATGTGGATGGGTGTGACTCAAAACACACCCAATGAACTGGAGTAGATAGTAGATGTTTACAGTGTGTATGTGTGCATATTTTGTGTATTCCTAAATGACTTAATTCACCTGGACATAGTTTTCTGCTTTCACCTAGTGTTTCTAGCTAACAAAATTGCACATAAGCAAATGCAAAATTCACCTTATGCTCATACTGCTCTCTAACATATTACGGTAACCACAAAGGAATAGGCAAGAGTTATAGTAGTCTGTATTTGGTTATGTGAGTGAACAAATTCTCTTTTTTTGTTTAAGATAATTTCAGTTACCTTTCTTCCAGAGTCCTGAATAGTAATGCATGCCTACTTAATATTCCATCATACAATAGTAACATTTAAAATTGCAGGGTGGCTTTTCTTTATCTCCTAATACATTTGTAGACTATCATTCTCTATCGGTTCTTGTGTGCTCAGAAATTGAAATTTAATTTTAATATTAATATAAACAAACCCTCATTAATAAGGTGAGGTATATTTGAAAAAGATATAAAGATTCCAAAGCCAAATAGAAACTATTTTTTTTTATTTTTGCTATTATTATCTGTAACACAACTGACCTTTTGGATAATCGATGGTTGATGATTTTTTATAGAATTTCATCTTGGCCCTGACAGTTTGGTCAGTTTCAAAATGTTTCTTGTGTACTTCAAAATCTAGAAAAACTCTTAACAGATTTCAATATTAAATCTTTTCATGTCAATACTGTATCTCAAATCACCTAACCCTATACATAAAAAGCCTACATGCATTACAGTGTTGTCACTAATGTTGAGTGATTACCCTTGGTTGGAGCAAAATAGCCCCAAGAATACTGCCAGTTTATATTCTTGTCAATAGGAGAAAGCAAGTACCCCATAAATTTGTTCAATACTCTAGCTTTTGGAACTCCTAAGTAGAGTTTATACTAAGCAGATAAGGAAGTATAACAAGTTTCCTTAAACCCACCTCAGTCTTAGACCTGTGTAGTTTTTAAAGTCATTGTGAACAAGCCCTGACCAATGTGGCTCAGTTGGTTGGGCATAGCCCAACAAAGCAAAAGGTCACCGGTTTGATTCCTGGTTAGGGCACATCCCTGATTGCAGGAGGCAACCGATCAATATTTTTCTCCCTCTCTTTCTCCTTCCTTTCCCCTCTAAAAATAAGTAAATAAAATCTTAAAAAAAAAACAGCCCTGGCTGGAGTGGCTCAGTGCATTGAGCACCAGCCTGCAAACAAACAAACAAACAAACAAAAAGCCATTGTGGCTCCAGCTGGTATGGCTCAGTGGATTGAGTGGATTAAAGGCCTGTGAACCAAAGCATTGCTGGTTGGACTCCCAGTCTAGAGCACATGCCTGGATTGCAGGCCAGGTCCCCATTCAGGGAGTGATAGAGGAAACTACACATAGATGTTTCTCTCCTTTTCTTTCTCCCTCCCTTCCCCTCTCTCTAAAAATAAATAAATAAAATCTTTTTAAAAAAGTCATTGTGAATGAGCCAGGTGAGAAAAGCCTTTATCTTCATTTTTAGCTGTAAATATGATTCTGTGTTAAAACCGATTAAAATAATCAGTACTTTCAGGTCTGGGGTACCCTGGAAAGTACTACCCTATGGATCAAGGGTTGGCAAATTTTCTGTAAGAGCTTGAGTGTAATTATTTTAGGCTTCGTAGAACATATATAAACAAATAGGCTTGACTGTGTCCCAATAAAACTTTATTTACCAAACCAGACAGCAAGACAGATTTTTCCAGTGTACAATAATTTGCCAACCCCTGCTTTGGACCAATAGTTTCATTTTCTATTTTTTATGGTTGTTCAGGTAGTACAGTTGTCCCAATATTTCCCCCTTTGCCCTCCTCTGCCTAGCTCACCCCCCCTGCTCCCACAGTCAATCCCCACGCCATTGTTGTCCATGTCCTCCTACCTTTTGCAACAGCATGGATAGAAGTGGAGAGTATTATGCTAAGTGAAATAAGCCAGTCAGTGAAAGACAAAGACCATATGATCTCACTTACAAGAGGAATCTAATGAACAAAATAAACTAACAAGTGAAAAAGAACCAGAGACGTGGAATCATTTTCTATTTTTTTAATAAAACCGTGGGGATAGTCTCTGGAGCCTTAGATGGCCAAGCAGGTGGGGAACTGAACTATCCCTGCTTCAACTAGAGAAGTTTTTACTTTTATGACATATGGACTGTGCATGAAATAGGTTTGATTAAAGGGTTCCATTCCTAATAAGGAGAAAAGCTTCAAAACCACTGCCTTGGACTAAAACCTAAAACCTGCTGCTTTAAAACTCAAGTGCAGATGTTTCAGGCAAAACAAACACATCTTTTCATATCTTTTCACATCTTTAAAAAGGATGATAGTTATATTAATATTATGAACTGTTACCCCAATAAATTTATTTTTTTAAAAGTTGTTAAGTGGTACATATGTTTTAATGTTCCCAGAAAAATTCGCTTTCTTGTACCATTGATCAAAGCATTTAAATAGACAACTTTAATAACTCTAAAAATGTTATCAGTTTATCATTCCTATTCTATTTTGACTTTTTCTAAATATAATGTTTAAGGTACCTTAAACGGTCCAAGAGAGGTGATATGGTGTAGTGAAAAAAGCACCAAATTAGGACTCTATATTTGTCTTCATTGGTTAGATTGAGAGCTCCTGAAGACAGGAACTAAGTTTTCTTCTTCATGGTTGAATTGTCCTCAGCACCTAGAACAGCACATGATAACACAGTTTAAACTTTAAGGCAAACAAATTTACTATTAGATAACTAACAAGAAAATAAATTCAGGTAGTTTATTTACTTACATCTTTCCATAATTCTTAAGGGAAAAAAATCATCTTTCTTGGTGAGCAACAAAATAAAAAGCCAGTACTTTGAAATACATTTTTGTCCCTAAGAAATTAACATGTTTAAAACACATAAAAACTAACAATTACTGGATTGTGACAAAAGTCATATACTAACAATGTTCTAGAAATCCCTTGCCAGCAATTCTGAAATCCAAAAAGCTCTGGAAACCAAAAATTTTTGTTTTGTATTTTTAGTAACTATTTGATAGTCAAATGGATCTAACCTAAATTTATTTGGCAGTAGTATCTGACCTAAATTGAATGAGGCTGTTTACTGGTATTTATTTACCCTGTATGAATAATCATATGGTTTGCTGCAAGAAATATTACCATATTTAAATATGCAGTGTTTTTCCTGAACTGGCTGGAGTGTTACAGTATGCATACAGCACATGGCATTTGGTTTCACACAACTCTGCCAGACAACGCCAGGCATTTTCCTGCTTGCTTTACAAGGAAGAATCTAGAGTCCTATTCCAAGCTTTCTGAGGCCATGTTCCTGGTCCCAATTCAATCTTTTCTGCTGTCATCTTAAGCAATATCTGAGGCTGTGCAAACAGCTCAGAGAGCCTTTCTGTCATGTCAATGGGAAGAATAAACATACTTCACAATGATATAGAAAGTTCATGTTATCACTTTGTCAATGATCCCTTGTTTAAGATAGAGCATCTTAGTCTTTTATAAAGTACCTGTTTTCATCACTGGACATTCGGTACCGAAGGATCATAATTTCTCTAATTGGTCTTAGACTTGCAAGGGTATCTATCTGCTCAGCATATAGTATTTACCATTTGACTGACGCACATCTGGGCCAGAATGTAAGAATTTCTCTCACATTAGGTGTGGGCAGCAATGGATAGTTGTAAAGAGAAAAATACCCGGAAGCCTTAATAGGCTCAGCTCCAGCAATAAACCCCTTTTTACTCCCTGGAACTGGCTCACTCTCCACGTATCTTTCATGGACCCCACCCTGTGGCCTGCAGAACCATATCTAGGGATCTCAATTAAAGATCTCCTAGTAAATAGGGCGCGCTATTCCTGTAACGCTAGAGGTAGTGGACCTGCCTATGCCCTAGGGTGGGCTATTCCGGGCTTGGATAAATTAGGTAAGATGATGTGAGCGCAAACCACAATGCCAAGGTTTCCCCAGAGCATTTCTTCTTAAGAAAAAAAGCAGACTCGAAAATGCCTCTCAAGAACAGCAGAGGTAGTGGGTAAGACGCTCTACCAGACCCCCACCTACGTCCGGCACGAGCCCTCAGGGACGGGGTACCGGGCGACTCCAGCGCAGATTCTAAACTCCTCCCTTCTGGAGCTCATCCCGATCCTTACCGGCTACTTCCGGCCCTCGTGAACGCCCTCAACGCGCTTGCGCCGTTTTGATAGGCTTCTTGGGTCGAAGAAATCCGAGCTGTGCCTCTCTGGGACCGCCCCAGCCAGCCTTTCGCCCCGCCCACTCTTTAGCGGGCCCCCCCCCGCCCGAAATCTCGCGAGGGTAGGTGCGCGTCAGTATTTTACGAGCAACTAGCTCTTGCAGCTGCTGTAATTGCTGCTGCGGGAGAAAGTGGACTGTCTCCAGTCCGCGAGCCCGCCCTCCCCGGTTGAGGAGAGCCACCGCCTCTTTTCTTCTCCTGTTACACCTATTGCTAGGAGCGCGACGGCAGCAGTCCCTGGGCTCAGTGCCGTCTCCTCTCATCAGACGGCAGCTTTGCCGGTCATTCCTGCAGCCCGGCAACTGACGGCGCCCCTCTGCCCCTAACTGGCTCCTCTCTCCAGACCGTCTGTTCCCTCCTCATCCTCGCGCAGACCCACCTCCCCACGGTCTCGCCAGGGTGGAGGACGACGAGCAGGAGACAAGAGTCACCCTCTCAGGCGACGTCGGCCCCCTCGCCCGCGGGTGTGTCCTATAAATGGCGTCGGAAAGCGACACGGAGGAATTCTTTGATGCCCCCGAAGATGTGCACCTAGGCGGCGGCTACCCTGCAGGGTAAGTAGCTATGGCCCAGAAGTCGGGTGCCCTGATCCCCCGGCTTCCCGCGTGCCTTCCCCTTCTACCCCTCCCAGGTCTCACTGTGTCCGCCACCGCTGCTCCTCAGCCTCGGGCACTTCAGGGTGAGTCGGGGGATGGGGGAATGCCCACCTCGGGTAAACCTCTTCTTTCCCTGGCGAAAGGCCCCTGGGGCTCTCTCGGAACCCCTTTCTCATCTTGCCCAGCTTTCTGCGAGGTGGGACAGCTGACGTGCCTTAGAGCCGGCGGTTTGTGTTTGTGGGGTTCAGCGCTTACCTTTCAAACATCCGTTTTGGCCTTGGGGACCGTAGATTAAAGGAGCAGTAACAGGAGAAATTGCATTTCCCATTTATTTTTTTTCTTTCTTTTGCCGCTAACTTACCTCTTCATTTTAGAGGAAGCTGTAACTCTCCCGATTTTCCGTCTTTTCCTTGCACAGAAATAAAAGGAGCGGTGGAAAGGGTTAGGTGTTTACTTAGGAAAGTCCTCTGTCTGATGTACTCTAGATCAACAGTGTTTTATTAAATTACCACCTTACCGTGAGGCAAAGGAAATAGAAGGTCCTTTACCAATAGGGAGAATGCCGTTTTCGAAGGTATCCGCACATAAACGTACACAACCGACTACAGAGATCGAAACAAGTGCTGAGTAATCTGGTGGTTGGAAGGAGAGCCACAGCTTTGTGCTCTTTATCTAATTCTGCAAGATGTTTTAGTAGTGATTAATATGGGAGATTCTGAGTAGGAAGTACAGTAGTTGGACTGCTTCCCTTGACTGAGACTTCTGTTTACCCACTCTTCCACTATTCAAAGTTGGAATAATGTTTGTAGCGATTTTGCCGAATTCTTCTATGGACTTACGTGGGGCTAGAGGCAGTAACGTATATTTTCATGCTGTGAGAACTTGAGAATTGGTAAAATTTGTATGTTAATGTAAGGCACTAATATGGTTTCAGTAGCCAATTACCATCAATTTTCAAGCTTCCCCCTTGGAAGAAAGACCTTGTTTGATGCAAATAAAGTTACCTGTACATTCTAGAAGTCGTTCTAAAACCTAATATATATTACCAAAAAATTACAGCAACAAAGTCAAAGAAACGTACATTATATTACAAAAATTAACAGCAACAAAATCAAAGAAATTTATGTAGATAAATCACTGATGTGTGTGTTTCCACCAACCTTTTTCATATTACTATTAGGGGATTTTAGGGTGGCAGTGGCCAATCATGAGATTGCACTGAATCTCCTTTGAATTCAATACCTGAAACAAGTTCGTAGCTAGGTGGTAGGGGATAGAAATTCCATTTGGATTTCCAAATACATTGAATCTCTTTGAAATTAAAATTTATTTTGGTTGTTTCCCTTCAAAGTAATGAACTGTCACTTCAGCTTCATTGAGAGACCTAATAATGTGTATGTATGTGGAGGGGGTAGGGAAATCAAAATTGATGTATGGGATTGTAATCAATTTATACCTATGTGAATAGTGTTCATTTTTTTTAAATTTTTATTTATTCATTTTTAGAGAGAGGAAAAGGGAGGGAGAAAGAAAGGGAGAGAAACAGCAATATGTGATTGCCTCTCACTTGCCCAATCCTGGGGACCTGGCCCACAACCCAGGCATGTGCCCCAACTGGAAATCAAACCAGCGACCCTTTGCCTCGCAGTCCCATGCTCAATCCACTGAGCCACACCAGCCAGGGCGAATAGTGTTCTTTTTTAATGAATAAAACAAATTTAATTTTGAAGGACAGTCATATCAGGACCTGTGTAAACTGCCAAGCCCAGCACCAAGCATGTAGAAAGAACTCAAATATTCATTCCCTTCTCCTTCCTTTCTTGGAATTAGCAAAATTAACTTCATACAGTGCTTACTTTGGGAGGAAGTGTGCAGAACTCAAAACTATTTATCTACACCAAATGAGTCATTTTGATAGAATTGATAGAATCATTTCTTCCCTCATGGTATAATATAGCTTCTCAAGCTCTTTGATCCCTTGATGCTACTAGGGAAAAGTAAAAAACAAGTTTTCTTTGGACCCAGTATTCTCATTTTAACTCTAACCTGCCCAAATGTTTAGCTTGTTCAGCCCTATGAATAAAACTACTGTGTCAGTCTAAATTGCAAGGCTTCATCCTATAATAGTCAGGGGATTTGGAAGAGAATTAGCCTCACCTGGAGAACTGAATCTGAAAAGAACTAGCTGTACTGGGAAGACAGCAAAAGGTTGGCATAATTAACATATCCTCTCTCTTTTGTGACAAGTTTTGTCGTTTGCATAGGTACTGTGAGGAGACTTGGCTGGGTAACTAACAACCTAGAAATGCAGTGAGAAGTCTTGATTTGTGGAAACAGATGGTGTCACTAGATATCTGGCCATCAGAAATATCTTCTGTCCTTTAATGTGAACTAGAATAGCAAACCTTTCAAACTCTGAGAGGTTATCAGACTGAGTTTGGGTGCTTTAAAAAATGTTTCTTGCTATTGTATGTTCTAGAATACACAGATCATTTCACCAAATTTGTAGTAAACTGAGTAGGCAGTTAAGAGTTACCTCATTTTTGTTCATCAGCAGAATCCAAACGCACAATCCATTTCCTAATATTGATTTCTTCTATTTCCCCTCCAATGGTGTCTTCAGCTTTATTCTACTCTTTGAAAGCAAATTTAATAAGTTAAAACTCATCCCATTTTTTTTTATAGAAAGACTTTTGACTCCGATGCAGACTACTTTTCCACAGTGGCAAATCATGTCCTCTTGACCAGCTTTGCAATGTGTACCACACTTACAATGCTTTATATCAGGTTTCCTTATTCTTATCTGTCTTTATATATGAGGACCCTTAGGATCAAAGAGTTTAAGTGACAGCTGGGATTTGAAACCAATTCTTTAAACTCCTACTTTCAGAGTTTTTGCAATACATCATAGCAGCCCTACACTCTCTGTATGTAGAGGGTATCCTCTTCCAAGAGATCTGGAGTAAAATGCTTTAGGACCAACTTCCTGAATTGAACTGATGCATCTATTTAAAACCAGCAGCCCAAAATTTTCAGTTTTCTTGGCTAGAAGTTCTCACTTTCTCTTTCAGGAATGTGTGTTTTGTTTCAGTCAGATAGGAATTTTATAAGATCATAGCATGCTACAGTTAGAAGGGACATCTAGTTAAACTCCTTCACATAAATTGTGGAAACCAAAGCCTGGAGAGGGAAAGTGACTTGTCCAAGGTACCACAGCAAATCAGTAGCAGAGTTAGGACTAGAGTCCCAGATCACTATCACAGTCTAGCGTTTTTTCTGCTACCATGCTGTCTTTTGATGAAGCAGGAAGGGGAGGAGGAAGTGTGCTATGGTAGAAAAAAGCCCTGGACTATATGAGTCATTTCATTTCCTCATCTTTAAATTGAAGAGATTCTGAGAACCCTTCCAACTCTAAAAGTCTCATTGTATGGAGTTTTAATAGTGTGCTTTTATTGATAAGCTTTTGTTCTTGGGAAATCTTTCCATTATTTTTTTGAGTTTTTAGTTGAACAGACTTGATAATATTGGTACATGACTCAAGACCCATAGATTTCAAATTAAATATTTACTGGGTAAATTATATATGAGATAAATGTTCCTGCATTTCTGGATTATACATATGTATATTAAAGACTGGTACTGAGAACATGTTACAAAATAAATGTGACATTTTTAGCATTCTTTATTTTTAAAAATTTTTCATGGCAACCAAAATATTTTTGAGATGTTGGGAGGAAGAATAGAGTGCTAACATTTTTAAAGTAGGAAGGGGCCAGAGATCATTTAGTTCAGCCCTCCCATTTAACTGAAAGCAATCTAGGCTCAGAGAAGGGAAGTAACACATTGCTGATTAGTGGCAGACTGGGAACTAGAACCCCAGCCTCCTGATTGCTCATTTATTCCATGCAGCTTTGTCTGTGGAAGGAGGGGAAAGTATTCCTGGGTATCCCTGCCCTAGGTCTCTGGCACTTACCCTCTTAGCAGGCCTCTTAAGGTGGTCTACTCTCATGGACAGTGATTCTGTTTTTTCATGCCCTGCTGTCAGAGGACACTGTTCAAAGATTCTAAATTTTCTCCAGGTCAGGATGAGCAAAGATTGAAGGAGAGTTGATCTAAGAACAGTCGTGGTCAATTATTTTATTTTTAGCAGTGTAGTTAGTGTCAACAGCAGCCTATCTTTGCAGAGTGGAATAATGGAAAAATCTTGATTTTTAAGCTGTGAGTACCGAGGTCAAACCGTCCTGAAGAATTCATCCTAAAAAAAAAGAAAAGATGCCTTTGTTGAAAACTCAGCTTCTCACTTAGGCATCAGAAACATTTCTCCCTGAATTGAAAATTGATGCAGGTTTCACTGAAAATATTTGTGTGATAAGGGTTATTTGTGGAAAGATTCCTTAAAAAATG